CTCCTCTAGCTTGGTGAGCTTCTTTGAGTTGGGCTGGCAATCGCGTCGGGCGCGCGTCCCAGCGCGTCGGCGTTGGAGGGTAGTTCGAGAGACTCCGTACGTATAGGCAGCAGATCTCTTAGTTGATATTTGGCGTTGATTAAGAGCTAAGATTGCGAGGTTTACATCAGCCTCATAAGAGCTGTTTTAGCTGTGGTGGGAGGGGGCCATGGTTGATTGAAGTATACACGTTGCGCAAAGTTAGTGGGGTGGCCCGCTCGCTTGTATGGCCCGCTCGCTTGTAAAACATGTTACGCACTAATTGCTAGAAACTTACTATACTAGAGGAGCAGACAATTGTCTGGTATATACTTAACCATGATTCGCGAGGATTTGCGCCCTAGCTATGTAAGGTGGCAGATATGGCTGATAAGATACTTAGTGTGCGTGGTGAAGAGCCTGTTGGCAAACTATAGGCTAGCAGGCTTGTGACGCGTTTAGATGAGCTCAAAATGGCCTTCAATTAAGCTAAGGATAGACAGAGGATACTACAGGAAGATCCTGAGATAATTAGCGCGTGGTTTGATTGATTGATTGGTTGATTAGTTTAACGTCCTGTGTGAGTCTAAGACTATATAGGACAAGAGCAGTGAGGCTGCTCTAGTAATTTACAAGGTTTTTCTGTGTAAGGGAATAGTATATATAGGTTTGTAGACATATAGTGAGAGCCTGTGCTCTAGTTATAGACAAAGGAAATTAGTTGTCTGTTGTTTGCTGTAGGTACAACTTGCGCGTGCCTACTTTAGTTTCTTGAATAAAAGCTAGAGTAGCTTGGATTCCCCTATTTGTGTCTAGGAGAAGAGGTATTGTTAGCCTTGTCTCCTGTAGGCTGCTCTTTATTTTCTTTCTTGCTTCTCTGTAGTTTCTACAGCTAAGCAGTAGGTGTTAAGGTGTTTGTGTATATCTGCAGCTGCATTTAGAGCTTCCTGTTTTTTGTCTATTATATAGGTATGCGTTGTTGTATCTATGTCTAAGTTTAAGCTGGTAGTATGCGCTTGTAATTTCTCTTCTAGTGTTTTTTAGTAGTGTTATCTTGCTTGTTGGCTTTAGCAAGAACCTTGCTGCGTAGGTGCTAGGATTCCTAAGTTTTGCTTTTATAGAGTAGGCTTAGAGTTCATGTTGCCACTCTTGTCTTGCAATAGCTTTAATCCTAATACCTGTTATTGCAAGACTTGTAGTATTAGATACTAGTTGCTGTTTTGTAGCTTGTTTTGCTAAGGAGTCTGCTTTTTTATTTCCTGTGATATCCAGGTGTCCTAGGGTCTAGTGTAGGCTAACTATTGCGCCTTTGCTGTGAATTGCCTTTGCTGCATTTGTGCAGTGGATTTGCCAAGCTTGTCTAGGGTTATTAGAAGGGGTCTTTAGCCTTAGAATAGCTGCCTGGTTGTCTGCAAAGACTTAGATCTCTTGTGTTGCTGTAGCTATAGAAGCTGCAAACTTAAAGGCTCTTGTTATGCCTTCTAGCTCTCCATTGTATACAATCTAGCCTTTGCTAATATTATATTTAGTAGAGTAGATCTCCTTAGCCTGCTGTTTATAGTCTAGAGCAGTAACTCCTATTCCTATTCCTGTGCCTTTCTTAATAGAAGAGGCGTCTGTATAGATAGCAAGTAGGTTGTCTCCTAGTCTCTGTAGCATTTGCGTTTTGTGTTGCTCTGCTTCTTCTTCTTTAGAGAGTTTAGAGATCTCTGCTGTGTATAATATAGTCTTGTTCCAGGGGCAGAAATAGTAGTCCTGCAGTTTTTCTTCTTCTGTGCTAGGAGTAGCGTTTTGTATTGATTGTACAATTCGCATAAATTAGCGCGTGGTTTAAGCTAGTGGAGCATACTTAAGTTAAGTATTGCGTTTGCAACAACAATGTGCACAACTTTAATAAAACTAGGTTCTAGATAGGCGTTGCTTTGTCTTTAAAGGTTGTAACAGGCTTAGAGAGACGTGCTTGGCCAGAGCTTGTTCAGCCAGGCGATCGCGAGTGGGTTACCGTTATCCAGAGCATCTGCGCTGCTGGGTATGCAACCCTGCCTTTCATCATCTACAAAGGACGCGTCTACATCTCTGCCTAGTATAAGGAGACAGATATACCCTATAATTAGAAGCTCTTAGTCTCTAAGAATAGTTAGACAAATAATGCGCTTAGCCTTAAGTAGTTAAAGCACTTTAACACGCATATAAAGACGCATTAGGTAGGAGTGTACAGGTTGCTTATCTTGGACAGCTATAAGAGCTATCTTAACTAGGAGTTTAAGGACTATTGCCTAGAGAACTAAATCCTTACTCTCTATATACTACCTTACTTGTTATATATCCTCTAGCTACTTAACATAGTCTATTTCTTGCTATTAAAGTGCAAGTACTCCTAATATGTTTAAGACTTAGCATGCTAACATGTCTTCTATATTAACAAGGAAGGCTTCCTACTAGCCTTTAGGGACGCGTTCCTTAATATGTTTACAAAGGTTAACTACTAAAAGGCCTTTAAGGTATTAGGGCTTGTTCCTACTAACGCGCAGGTAGTGTTAGATCGCCTTAAAGTGCGGCTGCATACCCTACTAGTAGTACCTCTACCTAAAATGCTGTGGCAATCTAAGACGCTAAGCAATATATATGAGTTTGGGTCTTAATCTAAGCTTGTAAGCAACTCCTTCTAACAATTGCTAAGTGCAGTGCAAGAGGGGTTCTTAAAGCTTGTAAAAGGGGCTAAAGAGATGCTGCACGAAAACGTCCTTATTAAGGCCCACGTGCGAGAGCTTGAAGAGTAATTAGCAGTAATGACTAAGAGAAAATCGCGTAAGAGAAAGCAGATTCAGCATGGTGGCACACTTGAGTATGGCCCAGCAGCATCGCGGGTAGCTGCTGAGGCGTGTGTAGCAGCTCAGCCATCTAAGAAGACTTAGGGTGGAGGTGGTCAACTAGGAGCTCAGTCAACTGTTCAGCGCTGTGGGAACTGCAGCAAGACTGGACACAACGCACAAACGTGCCAGGAGGGTGCAGAAACATCTTCTAAATCTGATGCAAGCACGCAGTATGCTAGGTCACTGTTTAATAGCAAGTAGTTGTAGTTGCAGTAACTTGTGTTAGTCGTGCTAAGAGAAAATGGCTAGTTCGGTGATATGGCCGGCTCGGTGATAATCTACGTTATCTCAACAACGTGATAATGTAATGTTTAGATATTTATAGAGTAAATTAAGCAGTATCTGAAGTATCTTTTTTGCACGTACGCGAGTTGTGTCCAGTCTCTCTGCATCTCTTGCAGCGCGCGAGTGCCTGGCGGCTGCAGCCTAATTGCTCTCCTCCTTGACGCTCTTCACGAGCAATCTGCTGATCAGCCTCACGTTGAGCGAGTATATCCTCTCTAGCTCCCTTTGTTAAGATCCCACACTGCTGTATACGCCTTTTTTTACGCTGTTTGCGCGCTGACGCTGCCTCATTAGCCTTCTCAAGGCTGGCAATCTGATCGCGCATCAGCTCAGCTGAGAGCATCACTACCTCAGCACCCTTCTTAAGCTGGTTAATCGCCTCAATGATTGAAGCTGGCGATGAGCTCTTGTGCCGCCGC